AGCTTACGAGTCAAGAAAACTGGTGGAACCGACCTTCGAATCTCTTCCCCAAACACTTCTACTCGAAATGGAAGTAAGCCCAACAATTAGGACTGACAAGTTGAGTCATCTTCTTTTGGGCGGCAGCTCAGTACCCTCTCTCTCTCTTTCAACCTTTCAATCAAGTATAAGCAATGAGTACGCAACTTTCTACCTTCCTCCCTCACATTTAAAGTTTTCCCTAATCTATTAATTTCAACAACATCTCTTATCTCACGTTTTTAGCAGACATACCATAATCAGCAAACCTCTGCGTCCGAGACCATTCCATCTCATGTCTAGTTTCAGACATGTGTTCCGCCACTTCTGACCGTTTGATCCTTCACAAGTATTTCAATGCTTCGACCACAGGAGCATACAAACTTGTAGGCTCCGAATCTTGATAATGGGTAATGTTTCTTTGTAAAATAAGAGATAACCGAATAAAATGGCAGAATTTCTTTTATAATTGCCTTTCTCCCCCACTTCCTTACTCTTTCTCCTATCTTCTTAGATAGAAAACTTGATGGTAAGTTTAGAAAATGAAAAAGGGTTTCGGATCGCTTATCTCTGACCAAATAGTCTCCATCCGAAAGTGTATTCCTCATTGAAGCTAAAATATTATCACTTAAGCCCAAAGGATACTTATTCTCCGAGAATAAATCTTTCAGTTATATGAGTTGTATCCACCATATTTCGCTCAAGGTGATAAAGGACCGTTGATAGAATTTTCCCACAATGATATGAGTAGAGCCGACGTTTCCATTGAATTTCACAAAGCTCTGCTTTCCCCAAAGCTGTTATTATTCAGGATGGAATACAGTTTCGACCTCGTCTAGGTCTTATCAACAGTTTCCCTAAAATTCGGACACACTTCGGTTATGCCTTCTTTCAGACAGAAACATGACTCATCAGCTTGAATATGGTTGTAAGGATGGTAGCCTGCCCTGATGATGTCCGTCATAGGAAGGAAGAAAGCTTAGCATGTTTTCGCCGGAATCAAATCCACCGTCGTCTTCTGGTGGGATCGACTTTCAGATATCTTCACCAAACACCTTCACTCGAAATGGAATGATGCTCAACAAGCATTAACAAGATCTGGCTGTTACAAGCTTGTGTGCTCATGTGGACAACATAAATGCCTGTAGAGGCTGCTGGACCGAACGGTCAGAAGTGGCTGTGCACAGGACGCAGACTGGACATGAGGTGGAATGGTCTTAGACGCAAAGGTTTGCTGATTATGTTACGTCTTCTGTTAAAAGGAAGATGAGAGAGGCTGTTGAAATTGATAGATTAGGGAGTACATTGAATGTGAGGAAGGGTGGTAGAATGTTGAGTAGGATTTACTTATTCAGATGTATTCACCCTATTTCGTGTAAGGTGATAAAGGACTGGTAGTAAAATTTTCCCACAATGATGTGAGTAGAGCTGACGTTTCCATTGAATTTCACATAGCCTTGCTTTCCCTCAGCGGGATTCTAACCGCGACAGTGCAGGACGGTAGCTTGACTCGTGGCAGCGTAGCCGAGTAGTTAGCGTGTCCAGCTACCGTCCTGTACTGTCGCGGTTCGAATCCCGCTGAGGGTGTTGATAAGACCAATGCGAGGTCGAAA